ATCTGTGAGAAAACAGCCCTTTTAACTAAATAGGAGCACAATATATCTGTCACCAATTTATCCAGAGTAATTGTGTCAAGAATAGCATTTATTGTCACTCTCCCTCACATACAAGTCGTTGTTATGCTATTTTCATGTATATGCAGCAGTTTCTAAAGGGGATTGCATCAGGTCCTCACATAACCTATGCATTCAATCAGCATTAAACAAAAAGTCAGCTATTCCCTTCAGCAATTCTAGGAAAGCTTTTCTTGCTTCTTCTTGTGCTTAAAATGTAGCAGCAGCACTGTCTCCTGCAGCTATTTTTAGGTATCCAGACATTTGCAAAGTGCCCATCACCAATTTCTAGATGGTAATACCTTGTTTTCCTCATGAAATTACAGCAGCCAGAAATGTCACAATAATCTATGAAGTCTCAGAGCACATAAAATAACGATGGTGGCTTTATCTTTTCTGGTTGTGAGCAAATACAGGATGAAAAAGTGGTTGCTGATGATGGGTATTTTGTAGAGAAAGGTGGGGAATCCGCTCAGGTAATGTGATTATCACCCGTGTGCTGGGCTGAACACCAGAGTGTGAGCAGCAGCTCTGGGAGGGGATTCTCACCCCTCTGCTGTGCTCTGAGGAGACCCCCCTGCAGCCCTGATCCAGCTTTGAGGCAACAACACAAGAGGCAAATGGAGCTGTTGGAGCAAGTCCAGAGGAGGCCATGGAGCTGCTGCGAGGGCTGGAGCAGCTCTGCTCTGGAGCCAGGCTGAGAGAGCTGGGCTGGGTCAGCCTGGACAAGAGAAGGCTCCTGAAGGGGAGACCTGAGAGCAGCTCCAGTGCCTAAAGGGGCTGCAGGAAACCTGGAGAGGGGCTTGGGACAAGGGCCTGTAGGGACAGGCCAAGGGGAATGGCTTTAACCTGCCAGAGGGGAGACTGAGATGAGCTCTTAGGCAGAAGCTCTTCCCTGTGAGGGTGCTGAGGCGCTGGCACAGGGTGCCCAGAGAAGCTGTGGCTGCCCCATCCCTGGCAGTGTTCAAGGGCAGGTTGGACACAGGGGTTTGGAGCAAGCTGCTCTGGTGGAAGGGGTCCCTGCCCCTGGCAGGGGTTGGAGCTGGAGGAGCTTTAAGGGCCCTTCCAACCCAAACCAGGCTGGGATTCTGTGATTACTGGTCCCTCCATGGTCCAAGGCTTGTGCTGTCCTGCAGCCTTTGAAATGTGCCAGCATGTACCTGGCAGAGGAGTGGCTGTGGAGGCTGGGTAACCCCTGGGATTCCCTATGACTTCTTCAGTAACCATCACGATGAGCTGTGCTACAAATTCAGTTCCTGGGGAGCCTCACTGGGGATCATCCCTGGCTGCCCTGCCCTGGCCATGGGATGGTAGCATCTCTGCTGCATGACCTAGCTGGGCAGGAGGCAGAACTGGCTATGGCTGTTGATCCTTCCCTGGGGCAGGTGCTCCAGATTTGATTCTTTACCACAACCATATGAGCAGAGTCAGTTGCCTGTATATGCCACTACCAAGTCTAACAAGCGATTACTGAGTCAGTTTTCTCCATCCCCGACTCTAAAAGCTATTAATAAAAAATAATTTGGTTAATTAAAATATCTGTTCTACTTCTTTTCTCCCCCCTCCCACCACACCCCCCTGTTAAGCAAGTGAGATTCATTCACCCCTGTGCCAGATCTTAGACATTCCCCAGCTTCCCAAGCCTTTCTCCAGAGGGAATTGGGTGGAAAGGGAGTGTATTTTGCAGTCATTAAAGTTTCATTTTATTTTGAATCAGACACTCTGCCATTTCCCAGGCTCCTGATGAGAGCGGGATTGGCAGGCTGGGGGAGAGGGAGCAGGGGTGGTGGGGACCAGGGGAGTGCAGGAGGCGTTTAATGCAGTGGTTATAGGAGCAGCAGAGATGCTGTCTGCACAGGCGAGGGGCTGGCTCCTTGCCAGCCTGCTCCATGCTCTGAAAAATAGCAAAGCTAATAACATCAATTACAGCCCAGCCGCTCTGGGGGAAGCTGATGATGCCTTTGTTTATCTGAATCCCAGTGTGAAAGCAAAGATTGTTTTCTGTCTACAGGGGCATATGCCATACAGACACCAGAGAAATAAGCAGTCCACATAAGGGAAAGAGAGGTCAACTATACTTTCTTCCAAAATTCACCTTAGATGTTGACAGCTTTAATAAACCTTAAATTCTGGCTCCTTTGGTCTCCCAAATATTTTAATTTGGCAATAATTCACCTGGAGGGTTGTTATCAGTGCTTCAGCCTCAGCTGAAACAGGGATGGGCTTTCACTCCCACCTGCTGTAGCTGTACCACGGCCTGTCCATCCACTGCACTGTCATTGCAAAAATGGGTCTTACAGCTTTTTAAAAGAAGCCTAGAGCTAGTCTGCATGTGGAGACTGATAACCAACAAATCTATTTTGTGAATATATTAGTTGGACAGGCATGCCTAGAAGGCATAAGCAGAAGGAGAACAAATATGTCTGTTGAGGCTCAAAGAATATTTGAGACTTCAGCAACATTGTTGGACTTACTGCAATTTTGCTCTCTGGTTACAAATCTAACCCATATTCAGGCAATCTGGAAGGATCGTGTAGAGAAAGCACTACCTTCATCCTGAGAAAAGGGACCAGAAAACAGAGTACAGTGGCATTTGTGCAGGGTCAAGAAAAATACAGCATGTTGTAGAGGAGAGGTCTTTCTACATCACCGTGAAGAAAAATTAACTGCAATAGATTTCATAGAAGATGACTGTCACTGTGAAATTCCTTGTCATATTTAAGCACTTTCCTTGCTGATAAAACGAGCAGTGCTTTTGTTTCTGCATGGCTTCCCTCCACCTGACACTGGACACAGAGCCCTGCAGGCTCAGCAACGCGGTTGGGTCTGCCAGATGGTCCACATGCATGGTCCCACATTGCAGTTTTAATGCAGTTTCCTGTGCTGCAATTTCATTTTAATTTTATACGAAAACCCATAGAAAGGCTTATCAGGACCAGCAAAGTCTGTGGCATTATTCAGATACGGGATCTCCCTCAGCCTGTCTGGCCACCCAAGCAGAGCTGCCACCTAAGGTGCTTGCAGCAATACGCTTTCAGGTTGCATCTGTATGTATTTCAGTGTGAGTGAACTGATGTAATGCAAGTCAGATTTTCTCAATTTCCTGACAAAGCAGAGGTGAGCAGCCAGCACTCAGGGCCATGGCACAACTCAGCTCTGTGTTCCATATACGCACACAACACAAGCGTTGTTCATCTGCAGTGACATAAATCTGAAAAGACATCTAATAATTCCCAGATCCTACTCACCAGATACTAGATGCAGAGAAACAAACCACTTCTTGCCGCTATGAGTCGGTAAAAGTACAGCGCCACCCGTTTTTTGCAGCCCAGAGCTGGATGGGTTATGGATAATATGTTACTATGGTGTCTCATATCAGGTTTACACGTATTAACTAAAAGGCATCACCCCTTGCAGCAAACAAGGGTGGTGAGGTTGTACTGTTGATATGTTTCATTTATGAAAATCAGAATCTAACAAGCAATGTAACAGCTCACGTTAGATATCCCTGCCCCAGGCTACGAGTCAAAGTTTTCCTTGGCTAACACAGCCTTACAATTTAACCTTTGCCTGATACCACATGTGACCGGCTCTTAAGAAATTAAAGCAGAAGAACTGTGAAAGAAGGAGGGGATACTTCTTGTACCTCTGATCACATTAAATAGCAAGACATGGAAGGGCAGAGGCTGGAGTCTAGCACAGCCAGGCTAAACCTCACCATGGGCAAACACTGATTTTCATTAACTACAAAGGCATGTTGGGAAATTCATAGGAACCAGTCATACAAGACCCATAAACCAAAGCAGATGTCACTGCCTTGTCCTCACTATGGAGCTGAGCAGCACCTGACCACAGGTCTCCAACCACACTGGAGAGTGCTGTGCTGCTCACCAGTGCATTGCTCACCAGAGCCTTTAGAGCCTAACAGCAGAGGTTGCACCTGCAAACCTTCCACCAGTTTTCCTCCTTTAAAGGCAGTAAAAATTGCACAGAACTTATAGCTTGAGGTTTACCCTACATGTTTTACCTGATTTCTCAGTAAAATCACAGAACCATCAAACACATACTTAGGTTCAGAAGCCAAACTCTCCCTAAACTCCTCCAGTGCCCAGGACTCCAAGTCCTCTCCTGCAGAAATACTCACTGTTCCCACCACATTTTGGCACAGTGATGACAACTGTGATATTAATGTTCCAGGCAAAGGCAGCCAGTGTAGCAGAAGAAATAGGAACAGCCATAGGAATACCAAAAGCAAAGCTGAGTTTTGTATGTTATTTTTAAACTGAATAATCCAGGGAACATCAAGGTAAACAGTGGCTTGAAAGGATGCACTTTGCACAGGTTAGATACTCCAGCTCAAAAGACCTGTGTGGGTGATGGACCAAATTACAGTTTGGCTTGTCCTCCTGCAGAAGATGTAGCTCTCACCACACCATCTTTACTCTTGCCCTTTGCTGAGGAGCTTCAGTTCGTCATCCCAGACTGTTGACACCTACAGAGGTGGTGACTGAGTTCTGCAAGGCACCCACATCCCAGAACCTCAGCACTAACAGGGAGGGTGACCCAGATGTGACACCAAGGAACCAACAACCAGCCTGGGGCTCCAAGAGCAGGGGATCTGCAGCACGTCCTCTAGAGGGGTGACAAAGCCAAGGTGGAAGTAGAACTACAGTACCCAGTGCCGTGGTACAAATGCTGGTGTTACTGGTGCTAAAGGGAGGTCTGACCTGAATGTTGGAAGGCTAAGAGGATACCTGTGTGTCACATAGTTCCAAATTTAAGTAGCTCTGTGCTTAAAACATAAAGTTCAGTGAAATGTCAGTGTAACAGTTTAATGAGCACAATAAATTATACTTCAATTTCTAAGCTTAGGGAAATTGCAGACAGCAAAGGGTGCTCCCCCCCCCCCCCCCAGTAAGATGAGAAGGAAAGCAAGTGGACAGTGGAGATACTGCTGATGCTTCAGGGAGATGTGTGGGCTCAAGGTTGATTAGCAATTGACAGTGTCCTTTCTGTGTCAGGAGAAGATAAGGCGGGAGTAGAACACTGCAGGCAGCTGATAGCAGCAATTCCCAGATCAAGGCTCGTGGGGGCTGCAGATGCAGAGCAGGAAGGATTTCCCAGAGAAAATGGTTTGTGATGCTGAATGGTTCTGAAGTTTGTGAAAAGTGCCTTGAGCCTCCTAAATAAAAACATGTCACTGAATCTTCTTCTCATCACAGGAAATCATTTTGTTTTAACCAGAAAGCAGCATCTCCCGAATTCACGCCCAGATACATTTCAAATGTAATCAACTTCTCCAAATAGCGACTCCTTGGGCATCACTTAGAATCCTAACTGCTTCACACAGGTTTATCCTTGGAAATGTGCACTGCCTCCCCATCCATTGCCCTCACCAGCAAAGGGACACAGGCCTTGTTAAAACAAAAAAGCTTTCAGTTTTAAACCAAAGCTGTCACTCAGGAACTCTGGCAGTTTACATGGCGGGGGGGTGGGTGTGCAGATGATGGTAAGAACCTCAACACAGTTGATTCTTTTAATCTTTTTTTTTTTTTTTTTTAATTTTCCTTAAAAATAGAAAGGCTTCAGTGTAAAGTTTTAAGTTCAAATGAAGCAGTTTACCTGTAGAGCCACACGTCTCTGTCACTTCTTGTTTCTTCCCAAGGCTGCTGTACACATTATTGCAATTTATTTCAGCCCAGAAAGTTTAACAAAATCTGATGCCCCTTTACACTCCTGCAAAAGATCTTGTAGGTTGCACAGTCTGAAATCCATCAAAGGAATATTGTTATTGTGTGCTATCCACAGTATTGGAGAAGGCCAGTGATGTACTCGAGGTCGGTAATGATGTCCATAATAAACCAAAATGAAGTCCAGTCCTTACAGCTTGTCAGCCTTATCCCAGTCACTCCACACATGGTTATCTTCCCCTTCCTCAGCTGATCCTGCTAGGGGAGGATCTCCCGAGTCTGAGCTAAGTCAGGTTTCAGTTTCTTCCCCTTTCTTTGACTTGGTATTTCTGAGATTTTCAACGAATAATTGCTTGAGCCCTGATGCACCCCCCATGTGCTGGGCTGCAGCCCCAGAGTGTGCAGCAGCTCTGGGAGGGGATCCTGCTCCTCTGCTGTGCTCTGGGGAGAGCCCTCTGCAGCCCTGATCCAGCTCTGGGGCAGCAGCACAAGAGGGACCTGGAGCTGGTGGAGCGAGGCCAGAGGAGGCCATGGAGATGCTGCGAGGGCTGGAGCAGCTCTGCTCTGGAGCCAGGCTGAGAGAGCTGGGCTGGGGCAGCCTGGACAAGAGAAGGCTCCTCAAGGGGAGACCTGAGAGCAGCTCCAGTGCCTGAAGGGGCTGCAGGAAAGCTGGAGAGGGGCTTGGGACAAGGGCCTGTAGGGACAGGCCAAGGGGAATGGCTTGAACCTGCCCGAGGGGAGACTGAGATGAGCTCTTAGGCAGAAGCTCTTCCCTGTGAGGGTGCTGAGGCGCTGGCACAGGGTGCCCAGAGAAGCTGTGGCTGCCCCATCCCTGGCAGTGTTCAAGGGCAGGTTGGACACAGGGCTTGGAGCAAGCTGCTCGAGTGGAAGGGGTCCCTGCCCGTGGCAGGGGTTGGAACTGGGTGGGCTTTAAGGTCCCTTCCAACACAAACTGTGATTCTGTGAAAGCAACAATTCAGATAATTCAAGTCCCATTCAGTTCTAGCCCCAGAGGGTGCTTTGGCGAGGCACTAGTTCAGTTCCAACAAAGTGGGGATAAACAGACACCTTGGGAAGGGTTTTGATCAGCACTGAGGATATAACCTCTCTCCTGCATCACACAAACTCATCTCCTGTTCACCACTGCATAAAAGGCAAAGAAGGAGCCCTACCAGCTCCATGGTTATGCAAATTTCTACAAACCTTTAGCTGTCAGTGAAAATAAAGAGACAGAGACTTTCCATGCTTCAAGCAGGACCAGTCTCCCCAGTTGGCTCGGCAGCAGAGGGGTTCCACATTTCAGACAGCTCATTTCTGTGTAATAGCCCTATAATTTAGATATCCAGCCAAGGCCAATGAGGACTCAGTCACCAAAATCACCACATTTTTATCCATTCAGCCTAGCACAGAAACCCTTCTGTAATCCCTTTTTCCTAGCACATTATCTATAATCATAGGCATAATAGGGATTCAGTTTGAGCCCTCAGCTGCATTCTCTTCCTTATTCACACTGCTGTGTGCAATAAACAATTTTCCCCCATTCCAGTTTGTATGGATCTGCCTCAAAGTTCAGAAAGAGCCTTTTAAGAATTTTATTGCCCTATGTGGACGCACCTGGTCTGTAATAAATATAGAAACTCAGGGGTTTTACCCCAAAAAATTGAAGTGCACAAAGAAACTGGAGAGTACCTGCTTTCTTTGTTCTCCCTGAGATAACACCCTTGGAAATCTGACAATTATTTGGATCCATTTGCCAACACTGTTTTCTTCGAAGAGCCCAATCACATCATCAAGGATTGTTCCAGCATGTGCAGTGTCATTTTGGTCTGATGCTCTCCCACGCTGGAATGTCCACCTACATGCTTCATTCCTGGAGGTCTGTGTTTCGCCTCCTTCCTCTAGTACCTTCTCCAGTACTTTCTGAACAAGCAACCTCTTTAAGCAATATCACTGGTGTCAACTGTTTAAAAAGAAAGTCGCCAAAACGCAAAATTAATCCTTACTGTGTAAATACACAGATTCCCCTTAATTGACTCTTTAAATGCACCTGTGTCAATGCAGGCACTCCAGTGATGTATCAGCTTGCAAGACTGAAAGGTCTGTTTTGCCCTAGAGGAATCTGGGCTAACATTTCATAAATTACAATCATGTTTTCCTTTTCTGTTAATATTTTCATTTCAAAGGTCATTACCACACACACACACACTCACAAAACAGGGGAAGGGGACGGAAGCTGTTTGAATCCCAGTTTGGGAATCACAGTAACTCCGCTGATGATGAAAATCTACAATCTTACTACAAAGATGTATCTATCCACAGCCAGTGCACTCACCTAGAAGAAGCTCCATTCTTTAGATCCGCATGTGGATGAACATCCAGGCTGTTGCAGTAGGTGGGAGCCACTTCTGTATATGCATATTTGGCAACTGGTCATCTCCTCTGAAGCTCAATACTTCACTTGGGCACCCTCATCCTACACTAAAGCAACCAAACTTCAGTCACCAGCCTTGGACACAGAGCAGCTGCAGCCAGTCGTGCTTAGCAGGGTCATACAGCTGATCGCTCTTCTTCCCTGGGGAGCAAAGACTAGGCCATGCAGCAGCCCTGGATCAGCACCAAAAGAGGGACCCCAGCAGTAACTGGGGCACTATACCTGTTCTATTGTCCCAGTATGAACTGGGGTCTCCGATGCCTGATCTCATCTCAGTCTCCCCTCTGGCAGGTTCAAGCCATTCCCCTTGGCCTGTCCCTACAGGCCCTTGTCCAAAGCCCCTCTCCAGGTTTCTTGTAGCCCCTTTAGGCACCAGAGCTGCTCTAAGGTCTCCCCTTGAGGAGCCTTCTCCAGGCAGAATGGTTAATTCACTTTCTTAAATATCTAAGGAACGTAACATCTTCTCTTACTATTACCATATTAGACTGAGAAGGTTTCTATGCCCCATCCTGGAGGGTTCTAGAAGATTAATGTTAATTAAATAACAGATTTAAAGTTATTTCTCATAATCACAGCTGTGATCTGAATTATTACTTGATGATATTCCCCTTTTTCTTGCTTGCTTGCTGCTTTTGATTGATTATTTGAATTTGCTGGTTTATAATGTGCTTGTATTGCTTCAAACAGAGGCATCTTTTTTGATTCTAACTGCATTACGTTCTCTGGGCAGATGATGGATTGGACTTTCGAGCATACCATAAACACCAGGACATTCTCGCCAGCACGATATGTATCTATATTCCATATTCACTCTTCAGTGTATCCTGTATTCAATCATTCTTATATTCATTTCTCCTGATATTATTATTATTAGCCTTGGGGAACTTGTTTTATAGGCTATTTAGTTTGAATTAAGCATGTATGTCAGTCATTTCTTGTTTCTAAAAGAACACAGATGATAAATGATGGGATTTACACTGGACTTAGCTTTGGTTTAATTTCCATCTTTACCTATATCAAAGTATTATTACTGTTAGTAAAACAAATGATGGATTCTTGATCACAACCTTCCACGCACACATTTCATAGTCTTTTCAGTAGATTCATTAGGCCCAAGTGGAAATCATTTTTTCTTTCTACCAACTTTCTTGTTTAATCAGGTATGGTCGCAAGAGGAAAAGATCTCTTTCTGCGATTTTTCCCCCATAGGGCTCACTGCCACTTCCTAAAAATAAATTCAAGGATTGCTGAGTGTACTGTTGGTGCAAATATATATGCAATGCAGAATCAAATGATCACATCTGCAAGTTATGATGGAATATTCAGATGTATGATCAGATCCTCCCACACATTCCTCTTCATGCAGCTTTGATAGATCTTCATGCTTTATGGCCTTCCCACAGGTTTTGTAGCACAGCACATTTTGGATGGCACAATGTTCAAATTGTTCTAGATCATCCCTGTGCAGATGACTCACAGAAATGTCTCTGGGGATTTTCTGAGTAAGTGGAACATTTGTGGCAGAGTGGAGCAGGCTGCTGCTTGCGGCTCTGCACCCTTTCTGAGTGGGAGTGAGTCACTGTTTCCTATTTTTGGCTTGAATACCATAGATCATAGAATCCCAGCCTGGTTTGTGTTGAAGGGACCTTAAAGCTCCTCCAGCTCCAACCCCTGCCACGGGCAGGGACCCCTTCCACCAGAGCAGCTTGCTCCAAGCCCCTGTGTCCAACCTGCCCTTGGACACTGCCAGGGATGGGGCAGCCACAGCTTCTCTGGGCACCCTGTGCCAGCGCCTCAGCACCCTCCCAGGGAAGAGCTTCTGCCTAAGAGCTCATCTCAGTCTCCCCTCTGGCAGGTTCAAGCCATTCCCCTTGGCCTGTCCCTACAGGCCCTTGTCCCAAGCCCCTCTCCAGCTTTCCTGCAGCCCCTTCAGGCACTGGAGCTGCTCTCAGGTCTCCCCTTGAGGAGCCTTCTCTTGTCCAGGCTGACCCAGCCCAGCTCTCTCAGCCTGGCTCCAGAGCAGAGCTGCTCCAGCCCTCGCAGCATCTCCATGGCCTCCTCTGGCCTCGCTCCACCAGCTCCACATCCCTCTTGTGCTGCTGCCCCAGAGCTGGATCAGGGCTGCAGGGGGGCTCTCCCCAGAGCACTGTAGAATGGGAGCATTCCCTGCCTCTAACACTACCCTGAATGGTCATGCAGCAGACGTCCTCGTCTGTTCTTTCCCTGTTTACTACACTTCATTGACTTTTATTTACAGTGATTCATACCAAAGTATTTTAGGGTTCTATCCATGGGGTTTTGTGGCTTTTTGCTAAAAGTTTCCAACTCATACTAAGAAAAATCACAGTGCTGCATTTACAGCACACCGACTTTCTGGAGGCATTTGCTGTAACAGGACAGCCCTTTGACTCAAGCAGTGCCAGCGGATGCAGCTGTGTCAGACACCATGGGGCAAAGCCATACATTAGTCAGCCACAGGCCTCCAGGAGCAGAAGTGAGCATCCTGACGTACGGGAGCAGATTATAGAACTATTTTGTCAAATCTGCACTGGAAGATTAAAAGCTGTCAAATGATTCTCATCATGGAAATGGGTTCTCTAGCGAGGTGAAGATTGGGATCAGCTGGGATACCACCACCAGAGCTGAACACTGTTAAAGCCAGCAGACTACCTCCTTTCTGTATCATTTTTACATATGATTCCCACTACCTGACCAGACAGTAAGTCAGGGAAGCCTTAAATCAGATTCAGTTTTTCAGATGGAAGTTTTCCACAGCCTTCATTATGCAGTAGACAAGATATGTGGGAAGGAAGATCAGACAAAGAAGTCATATCCCTCCAAATGTAAATAGAAAGCAAAGCATTCTGTTCATATGCTGTGAGCCAAAATATAAACAGAAAAGGAAAACAGAAGCACCCACAACCAGAGGCAGTGCCTGAAAATATTACAAACAGTTCAGATGAGAATTCTTGCTCTCTACAACGCTGTAAGTAGCATATCTAAGCAAAACGAACCCCCAAGCACTGGCAGAATGCCTTTACATCAAAGGAATAAAAAAAAGCAAGCAGCGGTCAGCAGTGCATGCTCCTTGTGGTGACACAGGCATCCCTTCACTGTACACTGTGATGCAACCCCCAGACTAGGCTGAGGACTTAGTCAAAGCCCCTGCAGTCAAACCCATCAAGCCATGATTCGAAATGACTTTGGGAGCAGAGATGTCCTTGCGGATAGTACTGAAGGAGGATGAGGCATAACATTTTCTTCCCATTTCATCCTTGCCCATGTAAGCAGGCTATAGGACTTAAATTATTATGGTAGCTTTAAAAAAAATAACACTTTAATCACCAGAGAAGCAATATTTGTCCCTGTGTATTGCATCTGCACCCTGCAACGGGTATCCACATACGCATATGCCCACACCTAAGATGTGTGCACTGAGTTGGAGCAGTGGAGGGGGTGTTAGTTCAGGATAGCTTATGTTTCTGTCTCATTAGCCTGCAAGCTGTAGCACTCTGATGGCAGAGATACTTGCCAGGAGCCCTGATTCATTGGGTCATAGAGATCATGGGCCTTAGGACAGAGGGGAGGAAAAAGGCAGAGGTGAAGATATTTTTATGCTTGACCTTTCTTGAAGGTCAGGATTTAGGGTTTGTTTCTTCAGAGATCCAGGTCTTGACCTTGGAAGCAGCCTTGTTAAAATGCTACAGCTTAGAGAGAGCATTTGTAGGCACCCCTGCTTGCAGAGTAATGACACTGAGTGTCACTGGCAGATCACCGTCCACTATGAAAACCATCCCCATATTTGTGATACCATAAAGTCATGAACGGGAAGTGATGGTTCCCACACTGGAGTAGCTTGCGAAGGACTGTCTCCCACAGGAGGGACGCCGCACTGGAGCAGGGGGAGAGCACGGGGAGTCCTCCCCTGAGGAGGAAGGAGCAGCAGAAACAAGGTGTGATGAACTGACTGCAACCCCATTCCCCATCCCCTGCACCACTGGGTGGGAGGAGGTAGAGAAGAAAATAGGGAGGGAAGTTAAGCCTGGGAAGGAGGGGGAGGTGTTTATGTGATTTGGGTTTATTTCTCACCATCCTCCTCTGATTTGATTGGTAACAAATTAATTACCCTAAGGTAAGTTCATTGTGCCTGTGACACGGGGAGAGCTGCGTCACCTCCCCCTGCCGCTACCTCAACCTCCAGCCCTCTGTTATATTTTCTGTCTCCTGCACAGCTAACAAGGGGAGAGAGAGCAGTTTTGGGAGCACCTGGTGTTCAGCCAGGGCCAGCCAGTCACGGCTCCTGCCGTTACCCACACAACCGCTGGAGACAGCGGCACCACAGCACCACTGAAGCCCCTGGTTCAAATAAGAAGCTGTGCCTGTAAGTTCATTGGCAAGCAAAAGACCCCGAGATGTTGGTGCAGCTCCTTCTGCCAAGCTGGAGAAGGTGGCTCGCACGGGCAGCCTGCTCAGCAGCAGTACCAGGCTCTGCAGACTTGGGAGCTTTGTTTAAGTGACACAGGTAAATAACACATACCCTGAATTCACAGCAAGAGCTATTAATAAGTGAGCACCCAGGAACAGGATGAAGAGTCACGACTCTGAAGCAGACATTCATGCTGGGCACCCGGTTATAAACTTACTGTCCAACCAAATTAAAAGCAGAGCCAGCTCAGCCCGGCCAGGCAGAGCAAAACTTCCCGGCGGGGGCTGTGAGGAAAGGCAACAACCCCCTGCCCGGTTAGGCACACATGTTACCCCGGGGGGGTCTCTGAAATGTCACTGAGCCAGAGAACGTTTTTGTCAAGCTCAGAATTTTGATTAGCGAAGAGCTTCTGTTAGCACAGCACTTCACACTACCCAGAGAAAGGAAGGTGCTAGCCTTCCACCGGGGAGTAACCCAAGGGGTAACTTCTCCAAAAAAGCCAGCTTCCCAGTCCCTGTATATTAACAACAGCCTGTCTAGTCCAACTTTCTGATGCTTATTTGCATTTTGAATCTGCTCCCCAGATCATGGCAGATGTAGAAGAAAAAACCTTCCTGAGCTGGAGAGCCCAAAATTTCTGTGAGTGGAGCAGGCACAAAGCAAACAACTCAGCTTGTTTCTT